AATAACAGACTGCTTTCATTGCCTTTTCCTCGTCTGATGCAGATCACAGTCAGAGTAATCTGATGTTTTTATTTGTTACAGTTTTCATCTTCAGTATGAATTAAAATATAATAAAATAATCGCTCATTTTAAGACATTGGTTTCCGTAAATGGCAATATGGGAGTAGTTTATTATACTTACAAAGAAGATATTAGGGAGCCATATTGGACTTTGAAGAATTAGATGCAAATGTTACGATGTAAATATTAGGACTTCGCAATGTTCGAGGCTGGAATAAACAGTGAATATCTGACTTTGGATATACCTAATACAAAATAAACATAGCCATGATTTGGAACGTGGACGTTTATAAAATATAAATCTTTATTTTGGAAGAGTTATATGACGAAATACAGGAAAGATGGACAACAAATGGTGACAGGTTTTAATATAGGCGTAGGCGTTGAGTCATGATATGTGACTGTCGGGAAGAAAGTTGTAGGTAATAGCAAAATTACTTAAAATTACAGAAAATTTGAAGACAAACGAAAAACGGAGGTGACATGTTTCATCGAAGCCGTATGAATTTTAGCAGAAAGTATTTGGTCGCCGTCGCGAGCACATGAGATCTCTGGTCGCCGTCGCTACCTGGTCATGGCCTGGTCACACGGAAGGCTATCTGTTCATAGTTGCCGCGAGTATTTGAGAACATTTTGAATCGCTGTCGTAAGCACATGGGAAGAAAAAACAGCAAAAAATTACTGGTGGTCGTTGAGCTTCCTTTGGGGTAAAATTCTTCACTTCAGGAGCACGCAGTCTACGAGGACATCTTCACAAACCGTAAGCGCCACGGAAAACGTCTTGCAAAATAACGTACTCATTCTTTTCAAAGAAATTAGTGAACAAATTTTAAAAGTGCCTATTGTAACGTCGTGTGTAGGGATCTACACCACAAGGAAACAGACACGAGTGAGTATATACAAGTTTTATTTACATACTGTACCTATTTTCAACCCTCACTCTAAGGCGGTTTGCCAGAGCTACCACTGCAGCCCTCCTCTCCCTACATGCGCCTTGCGGCGACGCCTACGACCAGCCAGCAAGGCCGCGTCGTAGATTGGCACCTGGTGTGCCCCGGCAGATTGACGATCTGCCCGAATGTGTTTGAAGAACACATCACCCTGTCCGAACTCGTCGAACAACCACGTGCCCTCGGCACTCCGCACCAGCCTGGGCGGACAAAGTTTTTGTGGTCCAGCCACGAGGAAACCGAAACGTTACCCACTCGCGCCGTCTCGCCACGGCGTCTTTATAGGCCCAGGTCACCTGACCTCCTACGTCACTACTCCCCACCCCCGCGCGGTGGAAAGCCTTTCCCTGGCGCTGCCTGGCCCGCGGACCATTTCCTGTCGGAAGGTCCCTTCTTTGTTCTATCTTTAGATCCCCCAGCCCTCTACCTTGCACTCGGCTGCTGCCAAGCCGTGACGCTACACTATCATAAATAACCAAAGTCGTATTAGATTTGACAACATGCCAATGATACTTCATAAAGTAAAATTGTGTATATAGAATCACGAAAAATCAATAATAAATTATGTAATTGTGTTGTTGAAAAAGGAAGTCTGATTTTTTATGGACTCTGCAGGTCAACCATTTTATTAACAGAATAAATTTTCATTAATTACCTAGTCAATACTGGATGTGACGGCAGCACACGTAAGTAATAATTAATTATACAAGAACGTGGAAGTTGGGCATTAATAACTAACAAGAATTAAAGAAGATTTAAAGTTTCGTATATATATATATATATATATATATATATATCAAAATGTTATAAATTGGTGCCCAACATGGGGGTAATGCTATTAATAAACACATTAAAACGGTTTCAATACAATTAAAAAGTATAACAGATTTTATGTTGATCCATATGCAGGGTTGCTGACATGGAATGTCTCTTCCCCAAATGTTGCAGAAAAATTTACCAAAACGTCAAGTTTAAAAAATGGAAATTGAGAAACTGAACAAATTTATGAAGATAAAATGTTTTAAAATCTAAAGCTACAGAGTCCCTTTCAAAATGTTTACCCCCCCCCCTAACTCCTGTGCCCACACCTATGTTTATCATAGTAAGAGACGCTTAACTAAACTGAAAGGGTTGTGGTGTGATAGAAAAGGAATGGTGAAAATGGAAATATAGATAAAATAAATGTTGCTCCTTGTCATTAAGTGAAGAAATGTGTTCATGATAAAGTTTGAGAGCCTACATCAGAAGAGCAAATTGATGTTTTGCAAAAAATCGTACGTTTTCACACTAATTTTAGTCCCAGCTCATTCCTAAAAATTTGTTTCAGAGGAGAGAACCCTGGAAACACAGGGTTACATACTGAAGCACATCTTGTTTTGCTTCAGTATGTAATTATTGTATACGAGGGTATTGGAACAGTAGTGGACAATCCCCAGAGCCAGTTAGGAAAAACTCAAGAAGCAAGGGCACTTTGATGTTAGTCTATGCATGAAAAATTTCAACTTATTATTAATATAGATTAACCCATCATGAATAACCAAAGCTATCCAATTTCGTTAATTCCCCCGCATATAAAAAAAAGTTTAAATACAAAGAAATCAGTATAACCAATTATTGATAAAAGTATTTCTTATATTCACATAATTTTTATTGGTTTTCAAAAGTTTATGAGTGTTTTATGCCTTGTCTTGAATATTTTATTTCTGTGAACATTATTATTGTTATTTCATTTTGAAAACTGGAGTATAAAGGGTAATATGTTTTGATAATAATTTTAAAAATAAATTCAATTAGTACATGAGTAATTTACCCAAGGGCAGGTTCAGCTGATCTTTATTTTTTGAGAAGGGGGGCATCATAGATTTGTTAATAAACATATTGTACATTATTTTTGTCGTGTATATATGATATTAACAATATTATTTTTAAATAATTACATAATTCTAACAAAAATCAATTTTGCCAAAGAAAGGTAGGAAACACAAAAACTCTTGGCCAGGGGTGTCCAACTTGCAAGGATTCAAGGGACACTACTAAAAACCTTTAATATGTTTGCGTGACATACTTTGCTGAGAGGGGAGAGAGGAACCATGCATTATATCAGTCTGTACTATTCAAAATTGTGAAATGTCCCAATGTGAAACTCATTGGGATGATTTTGAATCTATGAATTTACTAGAAAACAAATCCTTAAATCTAAATTTATCCTATTTTTATATTAAAGGGAATGTTCACCCCATGTGGCACACAATGTTCACATCTGACATGGAAGAAAAGGTACTTTCACTTTTGACTATTAACCTTTCTAGAAACACAATAAATGGCATTGCAGGCCACCAGTTGGATAACACTGCTCTAAGGCCTTGGGGAAGGGGGCGCATGTCACCCCCGGATTTGCCACTGCTTTTATCTAAGCATCTCAAAGATTTGCTTGAGCCAGGCAGAAAGCCAGGTGCATTTAAGAGGTGTCTGCATTCCTTCTTATATACTAATGGCTTCTACTGTGTTGATGAATTTGTAAAATATTAGGTTATTTAAGTTAAAATGTATGTTAGATGCAAGGATTTTCACATCTTGTTTTGCTTCAGTTCGTAATTAATGTACATGAGGGTATTGGCACAGTAGTGAGCAATCCCCAGAGTCTGTTGGGAAAAAATGGCTATTGAAATTGTTGACAATATAAAAAAATGTAAGTGTTTTATTATGCTGCAAATGCAGGAAATTTAATGAATAATTACTTTGGTGTTGTACATTATTACTGGTAAAAAGCCAATAATGAGAGATGGAAAATACAGTTGTTTGAATATGTTAGGCCACTAATAGCATTACCAATTTTACAGACAACTGGAATAAATGAAAGTTAGGCCATTATCGCAATAAAAATGTATGGAGAAGTAGATTGCCACATTTATTTTAATAAAAAATGCATTAACAGGTAGTATTTCTGATCCTTCTTAAACAGAAGTTTTTAAATCTACCTAAAATGGATGATACATACATGGTAATTGGTCTATGGTCTATGCTGCATAGGCCAGTATTGCACAACGTAATGTAATTGTTAGCTGAGTGCAACAACATCACTAGTCTATAGTACTGCTGAGAATACGTTGAAACTTTTACATATTGAAGTTAAGCATATTGAGACGTGATTATTACAGAGACCTCAATCTTCCAAAAATGTGGGATAGGCCACAATTGTGCTGATGTCCTCTTATGTCCGGAGTGGTAGTCATTGAGAACTGTTTTGAAGATATGTTAATCAGATATGGTGGGTTGAAGGATTCCTTAAGTTAAGTGTAAAAGTAATGAATTTAATAATTGATTACTGGGCTAATGTGCGCAACTCCAAATCCTTCCAGAATGCCATGACAGAAATGAATTACTGTTACAAAACCATGTTAGAATGTACGTTCATAATAAACATATGTATATAAAATGGTAAATATGTTTTTTTGGGTGTATGTTTTGTTTCTTTATTGTACTGTATTTTATTATTTAAGTTGCTTATTTCATAAAAATGACTAGCCCCATGTCATATGAGGATGAAACCATCAGGATGAAATAAATAATCTAATCTACTCTTTTTTTTAAAATTTTGATGTAAATGATATCAATTAGGTACTTAATATTTCAAATTGTAATAGTAACTGTAATTTCTACTCTGACAGAGTTGTAAACACTTGGTCTAGTAAATTACAGATAAAACTTACTTTCTTGTATTAACATTTTCACAAATGTTTACACAATAAATACAGTTAATAGTTTCAATGCTCGTAAAAGCTTTGAGAACTCTGATTTATTTTAAGAAGTAATATTTATAGCTAAGAGCTCATGGAATGAAAATAAGATAATTCATTAACGAACTTGAATAGAGAAAATTTTGTGAAAATAATTGTTATTATTCTATTCAATTGATAAATCTATCTGATTTGATTTATTTTGTCAAAAACAGCAAAAACTGTGAGGCATAAGAGGAGAAAAGCACAATCTGTGCATGTTTTCTTGAACAGTTTTGAGAAGTCTCTTCCCCACCATTTAACCATAATTAGTTGAATGATGAATAAAAGTACCAACATTTTTAGTTTACATTCCTCTTATATTTATTTGAAATATTTACATTAAAATAATAAATATGTACATTAAAAATTATATACATATATTTACATTAATAATTGTAAATATAAACTTAAAAAAAATATTACATTAAAATTAATGATACAAAGAACAAAGATTCTTTATTAATACCTTGCTTCATGAGATTTCTCTTGTTTTTGATCCTGCTTAATCATATTGGATAAATGAATAAAGAATAGATCATCTTCTGGACCAAAAAACATAGTCATATATCCAGCAACAGCAAAAAACCCACGAAGGAGGCTCAAAAGCCGCCATTGCATGAATTCTGAATGAGACACCTGAAATTTTATGCACATGAGGATGCAAATGAGAAAATTCAGATATAGGAATTATCAAATAAAAGGCTTAACATTACAACACAACTTCTTACATGAGAATCTTTCCATAAATCTTCATTAAATGAGCTGAGAGCAAGTCTGTCATCCCATTGAACACATACAGTAGTGACAATTAGCAATCCCAAGTAGAAAATTATAGTCAAAATATCAGCCCATCGATATCGCATGAAATCAATACAGTGAACTAACTTAAGTCCTGCAAAGTCACACCTGTATTAACAGAAATCCATCTATCAGTATTATAATTACTGTTACAAAACAAACATTCAATTAGAAAAGAACTGAACTATACAGTTTATCACAGGATATAATGAAAAATTCATTACCTGTCTAGTACAGACACAAAACAAATAGCAGAAAGAACATAATACAAGATTTGAACAACTCGGGCAAAATCAGGATAACCTTCAGCAAAACGCTGTACTGCTTCAGGACTATCTCCAATACTGAATACCTGAAATATCACAATAAAGATGTAACAAAAATCAATATAAATTCATTACTGTGAATAGTTCAATGAATTTAATAATTATTTACTAGGCTAATATGTGCAACACCAAATCCTCCCAGAATGCCATGACAGAAAGTAAAGAATTGTCTTGTTTTATTATATAAATAGATTGCAAATTCGTGTGGTGTTAATTCTTCTTTTTGAACAACAATTTCTTGACTTTGTGATAAGTCATGGAAGGATTTTTCAAATTCTGTTCCTCTTGATGCTGGTTCAAAACCTTTTTTCTTTTGAACAAATAATCTTTCTGAAATATTATGCTCCAAAATTGCTTGCTGGCTTGTAGAACCTAAAGAACAACAACTTATAATACAAATTCACACTTCAAACAACTGGTTATATTATTATTAAGGAATAATAAAAATACATGGAAAATAAAAACAACTGTGTAAGTAATTGTTTTCATATTACTTTCCTATCAATCTTTGAGATACACTGCACAAATTCCAAGATATAGCAATAATAAAAAAAAAAAAAATATACCAGTTTCTGATGAATGTTGAGTGACTTCCAGAACATCCTCTTCCAGACCTTCCAAAATACCAGATGTGACACTCAGTTTGGATTTTGTCTTTAAATGCCTTTTTTTATTTCTAGATGATTTACTAGAGGTATCATACCCAGATGTTGAGGCACCACTCTTCTCAACATCTTTTTCACAAATTACTTCTTCCATATTTTTAATCAACTGTTCTATTGCAATAACACTACATTAAAAATTTCTACTCCTGCAAATATTGTGATTTTACTGTAAGAAACAATTTAACGAAAGTTTTATCCTAAATGCAATCTGAATAATTACTGCCTTCAATAATAAAATAAATCCGTATAGAACATATTCAACATGTAAAAACACTTGTCAGAGTTGCGGCATATTCAAACGTGCATTTGGCGCACACAAATTGTAAACAATTTTTCCCGATCGCAAAGTGTTACCAACAAATCTCAGTAAAGGTGTTCAATATTTCGTTGACAGAGAGCAGTACAGTATAGAAGTCCAGCGCTCCTATTAGCAGAATTGAGAATTATAAGAAATTTGTGTACGTAAAAATGGCGACTTCCAAGTGTTGCCGGTAGTCACCAGCGGTCATAACCGGAAAGTATAGGGCGAGAGACGTGGGCTTTTTTGGAATGTTGTTGACATATTATTATCATTAATGTTCGAAATATCAATGTGAACTGTTTCGATGAATGTTGCATGTGATGTCTACTTAATGGAATAGTTCAGACGTAAAATGGGGTTAAAGGATACGTAGTCAAATACTTCATAATTAGGATATCTTACCAGTCATAATCATCATGCATTTCAAAACGTTTGTTTCACCTCGAGTGTTTCGGGCTATACAGAACGTAGACATTGATGATTTGACAAGATGTACGGCAAAAGAAATAAGACCAATTTTACCATGTTTAGTGCGGATGAGCTTGATTTCACCTCTAGATAACACTAGAGAATGTGCAGAAGGCAGGAAAGAAATTCTTACATTGTTATCTGGAATTGAGTTGGTGAATTCAATTGTTGCACTTCTATCAATTGACTTCCATCAGCTGGAAAATGATGTCAAAAAAGAACAGCAGTTGAGGTATGTGCCCAGCAATACTCATTTTTCGATTGATAAAAAATACTTTTATTGTATGTTACATGACAGTCAGTGTCATTCATTTTTAGGCAGAAATTGGGAAGTTCACATACCGACAGTATTCTTTTACAATCTGCTCCAAGTAGTTTGGCTTTAGAATTTGAGCGCAGTGATTCAACAAGACGATTACAACTTGTTCTGAGTGAGCTTTTATTTATTTCCTCACAGGTATGTATCTAAGATTCACATGATGCGTTGGCTTTCTAACTTTATTAATCATAACTGAAAGGTGTATATTCCTGCGTGTCTTTGAGTCAAGTGTTTTAAATTCTATATCTTTACAGTTTTAGCATTTTCACTAATTGATTATTTGATTCATATATTGTTCTCCATGGTGTTGTTTACGTATACAAAATATGTGTTTAAATTTCTGGCCTTGCTAAGTTCTATTTGTGATTAAAGGAAAAAAAAATACGTCAGTTTTCAACACAATGACCCTTTACTTCAACCCACTTTTCACAGCTATGTATTAACATTTCTATGCCATTCAAAAAATTCTCTGAAGTTTTGTTTGCAAAATGGTAAGAAACTTCTTCTACCTCATGAACATCTGAAAATTTTATTCCTCAATGTTTCTTGTGCTATTGTTCTGTTTTCTAAATCTACCGATTCTCATTAGATTCTTAGTCCACTTTGTTGTTGCACGTCATGTATTGTGTATTGCAAGCCTAGTAAACATTGCTTTTATTGAATTTAGCCTCTCTTCATTCTAATCCACATTGTTCCCAGTAGATGTCAAGCCATATTTCTTGCTCGCTTATGTATCACTAGCCAAAAGTTTAGGGTGCCCTTTGTGTATGTTCATGGTGTTATTTGACATGAAAAATTTTGTTCACTGAAAAGGAGTCTGTTCTTAACAATGTGAACAGGTGATACAAGTCAATCAACATTTATGTGGTTCATTTAAACATTTGTTTTACTCAAAATGCACATATTATTACTACAATTAAATTGTAATTCTATTACTATATAACTAATTTAATAATGCTCTATTGTGGACTGCCACCCTCCAACCTCTGCTAACTTACATTACTGCTACTTTTATATTACTACTTTAATAGTTCTCTCTAAATATTTCATTTGAAATCTCACAATTACTTCTTCGATGATAATGAGGGCCTCAAGCATTTCCTTTTCCTGTGAGCAAAAATTTCAAGATTATTTTCTCCAATGCTTGGGTACAATTTCCAATTCTATGCATGTTGATTTTTTTCATGTGAATTGCAGGTTCAGGAAGTTTTTTGTATTTTTGTTGTTCAAGTCCTTAGGTCCTGAACTTGCTTTGAATTCACTGAGGCAATTGCTTTTCGTACTTCATCTGTGAAGAGAGGGTGTTTTTTTTATATCTGTCTTGTGCAAGGTTTTCTCTTTTTTTTCCTGTCAACTAGTATGTCTAATTACTCGTATATGATGTTTTTGAAATGGTTTTGTCATTGTGCTATGGGGATATATTGATTTGTTGTCATTTTTCTGGGTCAAAGTGTCAAAAAGGGTCCTTTTCTGCTTATGTAGTTTTTAATTTGATTATTTTATGAGAATTATTTTTACTCTTCATGCTGATACAAGGGAAAACTGTCATCAAACTTTTTTTTTATTATCTTTTCCGATGGTTTTAATCATAACCTGAAGTATCTATTCAGTAATGGTATGGTTAATTAAAAGTGTTAAATGCTTAATGAAGTGTGAAGTGTCCGCACGTATGTTTGTGTGTATATATTCTTAAAGAAAGTTATTTCTCAATATTTTCCAGTTACATGAACAACAGCAGAAAGGGCAGCAATCATTGACCTCTTTAGATGGAACGAGTGGTGGTGCTTGCATAACTCCATTAAGGCATTCTGACCTTTTTGACAATGCAGTGTACATGGAAGAAATTTGCGATGTTATTTGTATTGCTTTAGCTGAATTGCCTGCAGTATTGAATCTCACAGAAGTGGTAGAGACATTGTTACATGTCAAACATGGACCTTATATTATCTGTTGGGTTGTTGCCAATTCTCCTGATTGTTTTCGTGAAGGTTAGTATTACATATAATTCAACATTTTCCTTGGGAGCTTGTTATATGGGATTACAAATTTAAATGAAACTCCTGTTACAAATGATTCAAACTGAACTATACTTTAGCTTGGCCACTGCTTGCTGACACTGCAGTGAGAGAGGCAATATATCTTAAATTGTGTGTGTGTGTGGGGGGGGGGTGCATTTTTTTTAAAAATTGAAATGCTTTGGTAGTTTTGTATTGGCCCCAGCCTGTTGCAAATGGAAGAGGCCTAATGCCATAGCCTTGTCATTGATTTGGAAATGCACGTGTTAAGCAAAACAACTTGTAATTAATGAGATACAAGTTTTAATTTGATTGTCACTATTATAATCGTTTTTAAATGTCTTTCAGTCTCCTTAAAAATCTCAACTTGTACTTCAAAATATTTTGACTTCAACATGCATTGAAATTTTCTATTCTCCAGAATAAAGGATTGTTCAATAAATGGGATTGCTTGTATAGTTGTCATTGTCATGATGTCAATTTATCTATATCTATCTATGTATCTATCTATTCAATTATGTATGAGGAATGTGATGTGATTATCTTCTAGAAGCAATTCATTCAGCTAGACATGGTTTAGTCCTTAAAGACTAAAAGCATACAATTTTACAATTTAAATTATGATAAATTTAAATTCTGTTGAGGCAGCCGAGATTTTACAGTAATCCATGATTATTAATTCAGGATAGCAGAGATATCACCACATAGTAGTTTATTACTTTGACCGTGATTTGGCCAAAACACGTTTATGGCCAAGTTTTCGGTTTATTAAAATTCATATTTTCATTAATTACTTTTTGGTTGATATCTCCACTACCCTGGATTAATAATATGATCTATTTAATTTATACAGTCAAATACAGGCAGTTTTCGGACTGATACTAAATATTTCAAAATAGAATAAAATCCTGGTACTAAATATTTCAAATTTTTAATATTTTCATTGGATTGCTTTATTCTTTTTCAGTGAAATTTGGTTGTATTTCATTGTGTGCATAAAATATATCATAGTTTTAACTAAAGACTTGCAGAATTGAAAAAAGAAATAAGTCTCCAAAACATTTGGTTGAGTGAATTTTTTGTGGAGAATTATTTCTTCTCTTTTCTCGTACATAAAGATCAGTCTGTTAAGAAAAATTATGTATTGAAATAACATTCTTTTTTAAACACAATTTTTTAAATTGAATTAATTCAAAAGAGAAAATCATTGCTAAATGTAGTTTTGTTGACGTGTATGGTTAAGTGTGAATTGTGAATCATGCCTTACAGAAATCCCTCAGATCTCATCCTTTGGTTCATTTGAATGATACTGGTAAAATACGAATGTTATTCAGTAGGAATGAGTTTTAATTATGTATTTTTCTGTAGTGTGTACGAGTTTGATTTCAAATGCTGAACGGCAAGAGGAAGAAACTGCTGTAGGCCGTGTACGAATGCAGGCTCTCACTCTCCTATGTCAAATGAATCCAGTTCAAGCGTTGGCTGTTCGTGCTAAATGTGTATGTACTGAATTTGTTAATTTCAGAGAGGCTAAAGAATTTTGAAGATATTCTTTATTACTTGTCAATTTTATTTTTGTGACATGACTATCTCAGAGCAGTGGTCTTGTGTATAGAAAGCAAAATTTATATTTAGTAAATCTGTAATGTGAGAATCAAATAGTTTTTTCTTCAAGGAGTCTAGGAAATTTTCCTTAAAAAAATTGCACTTGTTCATTGATCATTTAATAAGAAACGGATATTTTTTGTGCATTTGAATGTACAAATTTTGAACATTTTTTTAAAAGAATAATGATTGGAGATTTTTGTTATATATTGAAGGTTGAGCTGTGTCGCATGCCTGCCCTGGCGATTGCTTTGAGTCTAGAACATTCTGGACAAACTGTTGGGGCAGACCCAGAGGGCGATATGGTTGCCTTTGTGTCTGGTCTTTTGTTAGGGAGTGACCAGCAGGTACGCAACTGGTTTGCCATGTTTGTTCGGAATGGCCAAAAGGTGAGCTAATCTTGATGAAGAAAAAATAGTGTCTAAATTTGTTGAGTTCTTCAATGTATCATTACCTGTTGCATTTGATAGTTTTTTGTTTATTGTAAATTATAATTTGGAATCTGTAGTTTTTGTACAGCTTTTGTACTTTGCCTTACATTTATTTTCTACTTAAAATAAAAGAAGGATTATTCTTTGAAATATGCCTGAGACAGTACATCGTAGGAACAACTGGTAATGGTTTTTGGATAGTTTTTGGAGTTTGGTGTTTGGTTGTTTCCTTGAAGATGCCTTTTGGATCGTGTAAGGTACATTAACCTAGTTGAACAATTGGTGTAAAAAGTTCTTATGAATCTTTTACTTTTATTCTGTTCAAAACTTCTGCTCTGTTCTGTTTGGTTCTGTAAAATTCTGTTGTAATGTTGTATAATGGATTAAAACTTATTATTTAAAGTAAAGTTAGAAAACTTATCATTTCTTGTTTCTGATTGAAGGGTTTTCTTGCTTTTATTTCAAATGTTTGGGAATGGTTGGTAAGAGATCTGTCAATTTTTCATGTAATGATGCAGTTTTAAGTATATTTAGTATTTATTTCTACAAGTGATAGTTTTTCAACATATATAATTTTAAAATCTAAAACATTCTCTTTGTACTTCATATTTAATATCTTTATTTTTTCAGCGTAAAGGAGAATCTCAAGCTGCTCTAAATTTGCTGAGAGATGAACTTCTGCGTCGGTTGCAAGCTGTTGTCCTGTATTCAATGGACCAACGCTTGCCAGACTCGTGTGTGGTGCAGGCATCAGCTCTCCTGAGGTTGTACTGTGCATTAAGAGGAATTGCAGGAATCAAGTAAGGCCAGAAATCATATCAACATATTAGAGATTTTTTTAGGTTAAGCACTTTATTCAAAGGCAATGAATAAATGACTCGGTCACTTGTGTTATCTTGTTACTTGTTGTACTATTGCTCTTGCCAACTGTTGTTACTGTTTGGTTTTCCCATTTTACTGTCTTCCATTTTAAATATCTTCGAAAATATTTCTTTCTATACCTTCTTCCATGAAGATTAGGATCAATTAATTGTAATGGTTTTAAGGCCTTTCAACTAGATTTTAAAAATTTAATTCAGGAAATTCTCATGAAATATACTTTATGGATGATTAAATCAAATTTATTGATAAAACATTTCTCACGTTACAGAATATCATGAAATAATTATTTTCTTTGAATAAAACTAAAGATCATTGGCATTGATTGGAGCAAAGTCAAAGCAATCAATTAGTGAGTCAGTTTCACCAATGGTGTTAGCACAAAAGTAGTAGTTTACTGTACTTTTGTGAAATGTTCAATGGCCCTATTACACCAAAATCCTTTATCCCATTAGACCGCCTTCTAATTTAGATTAATAATCACATTGGTCTATGTTTGAGTTCTTTTCTCAGAGGATAGGTGAATAATGAATGCCTCAAATTTTTTATTGAAAATGAAATTTGAATAGAAAAAAATTTGTACAAATCACAATGATCTTCTGTTCATTGTGTGTTGATAAACTAAATTGGCCATTTGAAAAGGGATGAATATGCAATTGTGGTGCTTCTTAGAGGACAATTTGAGCAGGAATTTCTGTGTGAGGTAATAAATGTTAAAAATATGGAACTTTGATTTTTAATTGACACTGTTTTACAGATTTCAGGAGGAAGAAGTGTCTCTGGTAGTACAGCTCCTTACATCTCATCCACCGCCTTCCCCAGCGGGTGTACGATTTGTCTCTTTGGGTTTATGCATGCTCATTGCATGCCCTTCTCTTATTTCATTACCTGAACATGAAAGACGCAGCATTGAATGGGTGCAATGGTTGGTGCGTGAAGAGGCATATTTTGAAAGGTAGCATTTCTTTATGTATTTTTCAACATTGTTTTATTTATGAGTGCATGTGCTCATGTGTTAAGTGTTAGTATATTCCTTATGCATATATTATTTTCATTGGAGTGTGGGTATTGTCATATATGTGCTTTCAGGCATTAGGCACTTATATGATGTGTATAAAAAGATATAAGTATATATGTGCGAGTGTGTTTTGGTTTGTGTATCTTGACTTTTGCCAGCTTGTGAAGCGTATCCACATGGTTAAATTTCCTGTGTATTTTACATATTTAAAACAATAATATGTATGTGTAGAAATAAATAAAGATAAAATGTACAATGTATCACCGTAATAATGAAATAAACCACACAAAAGAATGGGTATATTGCCTGAGTTCAGGAAAAATTGAATAAGCATAAGAATCATGTGAAATTTGATGGTATTAATAGCCAAGTATTTTGTGAAAATGACATTCATGTTCTATAGGAAAGTTATGCAGTCTGTGAGACAAATCCGTTATTGGAATGTAATGAATTTAATATTTTTAGGTATTCTCTGACTTACATTGATGGCATTAAATGTCATTTCTAGTCCTTTTTTAACAAATCCACTTTTATGAATTAACTATTTCTAACTGAAAACAGTTGGGTTTATTTCATTTTATTAAGTCAGTGGGATATATTAAATAAAAGCATGTTAATCACACAAAAAATTGTATTAAGATTGATAAAAAATATATAAACAAAATCGACAATAGATGAAATTCTACCTATTCTATAAGTGTCTGTCATGATTTTACGATGGTAGACAATGCTTCATAAATGTTATATTTTTGCTTTCTTCCAGTGCTAGTGGTGTAACTGCTTCATTTGGAGAAATGTTACTTCTTATGGCCATTCACTTCCACAGTAACCAGTTGAGTGCTATTTGTGAACTAGTGTGTTCCACCTTGGGCATGAAAGTTCCTATTAGGCCCAATAACATGACACGGATGAAGCATATTTTTACTCAAGATATCTTTACTGAACAGGTGTGTATATGGTCTTTGAAGGAGACTAATATTATTTTTATTGTATCAAAATGTTTTATTTCTTTTCTTATTATTTTTTATGCAAAGGTTGTGACATCCCATGCAGTTAAAGTTCCAGTGACAGCAAATTTGAATGCCAATATAACTGGATTTCTACCTGTCCATTGTATTCATCAGTTGCTGAAGAGCAGAGCATTTACAAAACACAGAGTGCCTATCAAAAGCTGGATTTATAGGTATGTGATATTAAGCAGAATCCAATTGTGTAATCTCATCGATGTTTAGTATTTAATAATTAGAATGTGAAAATATTGGGAATTATTTTTTTATTTATAGAACTTTATGGCTTTTAAGATTTAATAACTTCACTGCGGTTTATTTAAATTTTATGATTATATATGCAGCTGAATTTTTATGCATTGTTTTCTAAAACTTTTGAAAAATGTAAGTGGGTGAAGTCTCTATAATCAGACTTATTTCAAAATGCAAGGGATTCTTGTTGCACTTGTTTTTTGTTTTGTTCAAGGCTGTGATATTTAGCTCTAATTAAGAAGATTGAAACGTACTGATCTATTGTTGTATTGGGGGCGGTACATGCTTAAGTTCTTTAGCATGTTCTATAGTATAGCTTTATTTCACATGTTACCAATCTTGCCTTGTATTCCTCTGCTCTGCTGTTTTTTAACGACAACATCTTTTGTTTATAGATGTATGTAAATGCAAGCACATATCATTTCTGAACCTTTAAATATGTTATTTAGTATTCTTTGTTTTTTTAAATTTTTTTTAATTCATGGCAGTAGGTAAAGCCTAGAATACATAGCAAAACGGTTCTTACTTTCCAAAAAGTCACATCATACACATCTACTCTTTGATTCCAATTTATTGATGATAGAATATCTCATATGTTGTAAGAGCCACATGAGAAGTTTTTGTAAGGTCCTTTAAGAAAAATATTAAAATAAATAAATATTTAATACTATTATATAGGAAGTGTAGAATGCTTGAAGTTAGCCAACTACATTATCATAAAAAAGTGTTTTCCTGCCTTGTAAAATTTTGTTTTTCACATAGGAGGTACATCAATGCTTAAAAAAATATTTTATCTCCTGAGAGAAGTTAACATGAAATATGAAGACTCTTGAATAGGCCAAGAATAAGTGATGGTTACTTTGTTTTTCAGGCAGATTTGTAGTAGTGTACCACCACTTCATCCTGTTCTTCCTGCTCTGATTGAAGTGTATGTGAACTCTATTTTGGTACCAAGTCCAAAAGCACCTCAGGAGCACACCAACAAACCTCTTGATGAAGAGGAAATTCGACGAGTTTTTGAAGTTTCTACAGCATTTGGAGGCATGGTAGAAACAAGAAGGATAAAGTCTGAAACTGTGTCAATAAATGTAAGCATTTATGTTTCAGGTTTTACTTTTGAAACACGTAAAAATGCGGAGATTTGAATTAATATGAATTAGAGAAGTGGTGCAACTTTTACATAAGTTTGCTTTGTGTTTAAATGTCCCTTTTTTTCTCTTGACAATACATTCTGATATTTTATAAACCATAGATATCACCAAATTTGTAATCACTGTCAAAGTTATTTCTTGTAACCTGCACAGAGCATGCATTAGATAGTGTTGAACATTTTTACCATTATAGTTGGATTCTGGATTTCATAAATGTGAGGCATTTAACCCAAATTGGTGTTGCCAGAAATTTGAAAGATAGATGTGTCAATTTAGGTTTGAATATTAAATTTAATGAACGATAAATCACCAACCTGGATTGTTCAATTATAACAAATTCAGTTGGTCTCAGTGTTAAACCACAACTAGACTCCTTTCCAATGCAAAGTTAGTTGTTCCCATTCTCGAGGAAGCAAGAAAAAGTTAACTATTCTTAAAACAAAAAGGAGAAACAGGTTTAGAATATGTGTTGCTACACCATGTGTTATCAATGTCACTGTGTTCAAGTTCATTGCTGTGCTCCAAAAGGTGTCATGATAAATTAAAAAATATTCGTTTTTATTTCTTTCATATATGGTATACTTCTGATGTATTAAAAACATTTGGGCTTGTACTATTACATAGTACGTATTTGTATATATTTTGGGGAAAGTAGGTGGATTTTCTTTGCCATTGTAGTCAGCAATGCCAAGGTTCATGTCACTGACGTTAGTTCTTAACAACTATTTAGTGAGTGTAGCAGTGACATATTTATCGAAGATTGCATAACATATTGCATATGTTGATCACGTATCTTAATACAATTTGAAAAGTATTGTGCATAAGAATGAAACAGGAAGTTCAATTATTTTTACTCTTTTTTCACAGATGGATGTGGATGAGATGCCAGGATCTAGTGCAACATCAGAAAGCTCCTCTCTGGTAACTCAGCTCCTCTTGCTTTACTATCTGCTTCTTTATGAGGATGTACGACTGGCAAGTGCCCACAGCACAGCTGCTGCAGGACGTGTTGTTAAAAGCTACACTCCGGAGTTTCTTTCTGAACTTCCTATTCGGTACTTGCTGCAACAAGCTAGGCGTGACCAGCAAAGTTATGCAGGTAAGTTCCATTTACTGAAACAATACTTTTTTTTTTTAATTTCCTACTCTTTTCTACTTTTCTCTTTGATTGATTTTGTTGATTACAATAATTGTTAGAACTAAAGTAGTGAATGTTATGAGATGTAAGTTGTTTCTACTAAAGTCACTTAAGAAATATGGGAGGTAAATTTGTATTCTAATTAAAATTTGATGTATATTTCAGGCTTGTTTTCACCATTGCTTCGTCTCTTAGCCACACACTTTCCCCATTTGTGCCTTGTGGAAGACTGGCTGGATGAAGAGGAGGCATCTGAGCTTATTACTCAAGTTGAAATAAGAGACAAGCTATCTACATCAGATTCCAACATTAATGATGGTTTGCACATCAGTTTTTGTAGTTTGCCTTGAACAATTGAAAGGGGACAGTGAGAGGTAGCCAAACCTACAATTTTGAGTTCTTTGTGTTGATCATATGATGAAACATGGGCAACCCATGTTTATCCAGAATTATAGGTTCTAATTTTTTTTTGTAAATGATATGACTGATTTTCTTAGACTTGCATTCATTTACATGCTTTCAGTAAACATTGTACATTACTAACTTAAAATCCTCATTGGTGTCACTTTTGTTCCTCTCACTATGCCTATCAATTCATATTTAGTGTTATTTAATTTCTTTCTACGTAAGTGATAGTTAAATGTGTGTGTTGCTGTATTTCAGTATTAAGTCAGATTCCACAGTGCCCTTCTCGAGCTGTGAGATTGTTGAGACAGTTAATTGCCATGCCTCCTACTGATGTTTGGCCACACGCGTCTGCTATTATTCAGCACTTACCTGCTCTGTTGGATAATCGCGTGCCTCGGTACATTCAAGGTATGTATATGACTGCCTAGGGCAGGGCTCATCACGTTCTCGCTCTATAGAGCCAAGGCCGATTGCTTCCGGCACTCAGCGGGGGGTCAGGCAGGCCAGACCTTGCGGGAGAAATAAGAGAAATTCAAGTGTCAAATGCTGGGGTATGAAAATTTCAACTTGCTTAAGCATGCTGCTTATCGCTCCACACTGACGTGGTTTCGTCCATAGACACCCATGTTCCATCTACAGCCATTACATTTTTTGCGGATAGTTATTGTCGCCTCCACTAAAGTTAGATAATAATTAAGCAAATAATTCGATTGAGAATGAAATTCTCAGAGAAAAAATTTTGCGACAGTAACAGCTAGTGAATGTTTAATTGTCAAAAATCATGTAAATATTTTTATTTAAGAGTTATAATGCAAACAAAGTACCAAAAAGTACATAGTAGTATCTCTTAAAGACATCTGGCATATTAGTTCTTTGTACATAAAAATAAAAAAAATAAAAAACCCACAAACCACCAAAACAACAACAACTTGACAATGCGTTCAATGTTTGGCCCAAATGGTTAATTGCAACTTAACCTCAGGCCATTTGTCAAGTTGTGATGTTGGAGAGAGCTTCTCAATCTCCATTACCCCCGGCTTGCCTGCTCCTGCTGTTCGCTGCAGACACTGCCGACGGCTCTTTGCTCTTGAATAGTCTTTCTGTTGAGCCCTGGCATAGTGTAAATCTATGCGTACAGGAGACAAATGTAAATTATTGCTATACAGTGTGGATTAAGGTGAAAATTCAATTGTGGGAACATTTGCGTTCGCAGAACTATTCAAACAGTTGTGGCTTCGGTTGAACACTGTGTTGCCACGTTGCTTGTGGGTAACATCTATCAATGCACTCTTGCACCGTGGGCCATCTGGCTGTCCTGTACTTCTCACCCAGGAGAACATTGTATTGGATCCCCTGCAAACTCTTCGTTGTGATCCAGCTGTCTTCAGGTAAGCCTAACGGCAGCTCTAGACATTTGGCATTTGCCGAGCAGTGAGCTTCTGCTCACCTTATCCTGAACAGCTGATGTGTTTGGCGAATGTTCGCTTCCTTTGATGTGCCCTAAAGACTGATACACAATGGGTAGGATGAACACTGAATGTTCGTCTCTTGAGAAATAGCAAGGAACTAATCCACACTACTTGGATTTTGACGAGTGGTTGCTTGCTACTCACTGAATAATGACTGTGTGGAGCCACTTTTATACAGAATATATCTGATTGTTGCTTTTCTTATATTGACTGTTTTTTAAATAATAGCGTAAAAGTTTGATAGGTGTGAGTAATATCTGCTCAAATGGCCACTGTGATTAAGAGATTCCTCTATTAACCGGCTTCTTCCATGGAATCAGTCGATTTGTAAAGACGTGTAAATAGTCATCTAATCCAGGACTAGAGAGTATATATCCAGGACTGCTTGGGTATAAGCAGGGAAGGCTCTTGAGCATCGTATCTGACTTCAGCTAATGAGCTTCAGCCACCAGTTTACATCACAATAGTAGTGGGAATTTTAACTCTTTAACTGCTATGGGCCATCCTATTATGAGTCATGCATCTTGTGTCATGTTTCTCTCTGAGTTCCCTGCTCTGAGCTGAGCTTGCTAGCACATAGATATCGCGCACATCTCTATTATCGGGAAGTCCTAGTGATAGATGAAAGTGCGACTGCACGAGCAAACTCGTCCAGAGGCTCATGGGACATGTGGTTCCACTTATGATCTCGTGAAACATACTTGACCAGAGGCTCCCAGCAAGAATCTGATTGTGCGGAATAACACGTTCAGAGATTACCAAGCACAGAAATATTTTGCATATAAACTCATCTAGAGCAGTCAAAGGGTTAAATACAGCCAGGTACCAAATACACCTTGTTACAAAACATCTGAACAGTTATGTAAAGCACTTCTTTTAAATTTGCATCTTTTACACCTTTGTGTTATTTTTGGTTGGTTACCACTGAAAATTGTCACTTTATGCCACTTTCAAAATCTTTGTCATCTTCACTCTCTCCACGCAAAATGGCAGCCAGCGTCTGGTCTGGCTATTCATACAAACTGGCCATACTGTTGTCACGTGGTTCATGATGCAAACTGGTGCTGCGCAGAATAAGCAACAATTAGTGCACCGAAGTAACTCGCCTATATCTTTTCACCATGGGTAGAAAGCAAATTGCAAGAGGAGTAACATCTCTACACATGATGATTCCTGTTTCACAAGCCAATGACAATAGAATAAAAGCAATAAAATAAGAAATTGCAAATTTTTTAAAATTTGAAGTTCTTCAGAATTTATAGGTACTCAAGTCTTTCAGTTTTTTCAGGAATAGTTGAAAAGAAATATTTGATTATCATGATTTTGATAAATACACAATTATTTTGCAGTTGGAAAGCAAAAAATAAAATGGGTAAAAACCTAAAAATCCAAGCCCCAGTAATATTTTACTTGCTCTCTTTGTGGTATCAGTTAATAATTTTTGTCTTTTGTATGTTAAAAGAAAAACATTGTCTTGATTTAAAATTATTCTAATGCATGGTTGTAAATTCCTTTTGTGGGGATTGTGAGGTACTTTGAGAAAACATAATGTATATCTTTTGTTTTCCTGCAGGTGTGCACCTGTATTAAGTGTTGTTTTGAGGGTTCTGCAAGCATCCCTGGCTGCTTCTCGCTGCCAACTGGCACGCCACTTGCAGGACCGACCTGAGCCGTCTCGCACTCTTCAGGGTGGCCCTGCGCTCCCTCCACCTAGTGAGGGGGAACGGGAGGAGCTGCGAGCAGCTCTGGTGTGGGCACAGGACTCTTTGGCATTGCAGATTCTCTTAGAGACATGCCTTGCCAGCGGTGATGATAAAGTAAGTGCTTGAGCATTTAGACTTTCTGTCTTTGAGATGCTGAAATAAATTTATTTTATTACTTCTGCAGGTGTGTCTTGAAATTTTATTTTTCCAAGAGTATTTATTAGAGATAGTCAGAATAGTACAGTTGACTCTGGTTATAGTGAACTTCAGGGGACTAACAATTTTGGTTCACTATAACCGATGATGTCAAAATAAAATAGAATATCTCAACAATGATATATTTTATTAATATAGAGATTCAGCAAAATATATTAAATGCATGAAATAAAAATTTCAATTTCTTTATTTGTCCTTAAAAATTAATTACTTATTTTCAATTGTTTGCTTCATTCGTTTTTCAATTGTAATTTCTCTAGTCCCTTCTCCAGAGTTTGTGCTCTCTCCATAAATGGTTCTCCGTTGTCCTCTGTGTCTAAATATCGTAATGCAGTCTTGACAACCTTCAATGCCTCTTGCCTTTTAAAACATTGCCCCACTCTCCGAACTCACCTAATAAGTTAGTAAACATACAAGATACTTTCGGTAGTGGCACGGCGCAAGTGCCTAAAGAAAGTGATTGCTTTCCCTTGCAACACGGCGGATATTGCCAAGCTGTATCAGTCATGTTCTTCCTGTCGCCTATATAGAATTCAACACATTTTGTTCCATGTAATATGTGATATAAGGCTTGGAACTGAAGCAAGCAATTGCACGTCACGGCTGCTGTTGTAACCCACCCAGGACATGGCATCTGTTGCCACAGTGAAACTGGGTAGCATAAGGTCGTCGGTGAGGTCTCTAATCTAGATCTGCCATCTTTACCTCAAGGGAGTCTTCTTCGATTATAACCCTCGGCCGATGATATTTTTATCAAGCTGTCTTTGGAATTTGTGACCCTGAGGCCATATATGTTTTTCCAGGAAGGAATTAATTTCCAGTAGTTTGTATTGTCTACATTCACTATAGCTGAGGTTGAGGTTCACTATAACTGAATTTCTTATTTGTAATGTGTGTGATTCGGGACCTGTGACTTAGGTTCACTGTGACCAAGGGTTCACTATATGTGAGTTCACTTTAACTGGAGTTGACTGTATTTGTCATTAGGAATATTGACAATTCGCCTGTATAAATTGTTTTTAAATGATTTACCTTGCTAAATTGCTTCCTAACTTTTTTATTTATTTATTTACAAGTGGCAATCACCTAATTATAATTTGTACGTAATATAAAATTAAGTAATTCAATCATAAATTATAGTCTTTGAAAAAACATAGTTTCACCAGATCCTTGAAACAAGAATGAAATTTTCTCAATCAACATTCATACTATTATAGGTTCTCAACATTCTCCATAATGGTACATTACAATTCTTGATTGTCAAGACAAAGATTTTGTGTAGGTACTTTCCATTTAATTTCTGGTAATAGTTCTATACAATGAACTTTCTTGTCAAGTAATTTATACTTGTGATCTTGTGAGATTCTTGTCATCATGTGACACACACTTCTGACTGTATTGTTTTTTAAAAGATTTTGACTTTTGCCTTTCTTAATATTATGTATTGCAGGCTAACCCAGGGCAAAGGTGGGCATTGCAAGAGGTGCGCAGCCTGGTGTGTTCCCATCTTCACCAAGTGTTTATTGCAGATCCTAGTTTGGCAAAACTAGTGCATTTTCAAGTGAGTACTTAATATTTCAATCTTCTTATTGTAAATGCATTGTTTTTATGAGATTTTACTTGGTAGTGAAACTAGGTAGTACTGCAAATAAGCTGCACTATACTATTTTCTAGAAGTAAATCTTTTCAAATTACTGCAAGTTAGAATGTAAATGGAAACCGGCTATAATTACTTAGCCGCAGCTTTAGCGGCGGCGATGGTGTAATGGTTAGCTTACTGGACTGTTGTACCCAAGTTGGCGGGTTCAAACCCAATCGAAGCCGTGGATTTTTAAGGGCGAAAAAATCCTTCGTACGCCTTCCTTCGGAGGGGAAGTAAAGCCGGCTGTCCCATGTTCGTAGATTTACTTGCATGTAAAAGATCCTCAAGCCTAAATGACGCCTCTGAGCTACATTCAAATCGCCCGTTTCTCGCCCAAGAAATACTTCCTTTCTCTCCTAGTTGGTGAAAAGAGCGTAGCGAAATTTGCGTGGTCAGACGGAAGAGCGGGCCTGATGGCCCGAGTCTCGCCACGTAAAATAAGGCAAATTCAATTCAATTCAATTCAATTCAATACTGTTATACATTGCATCAAACTAGTTAAACCAGCACATACTTTCCCGCCCTTAATGGTCACATAATACTATTTATATCGCAATTTCTCTTCGAATTAACACATCTTAGTCTTCATTTTTTATATGACTGTGTAACAAATCCTAAAACATTATATGCGAAATCTAAATATTTTCAACCCAATATCAACATAAATTTGCCAATTATAACTGTGTTTAATACAGCTTAATCATGCCCCAACAATGAGGTGGAATTCACAGGACTACAATTGCCGTCTTACATGGAGGAATGCCATTGACCAATCTGACATATTCTGAAGGCTAGCAATTTTTCTTTCATATTACATTTAAATTGTATTTTTAAGTGAGATAACCAAGGTTTGTGGATTGCTTGAAAGAAAATACATCAATATATTGAGAATGCAAATACATTTCTCATAACATTACATCCTATCAATACATCCTAAAAAAATTGATTATCAAATAAGTTTTAAATAATTTCTAAAATAATAATTTGTAAATGTATAACAAAAGATTGAATGTAAGAAACGAATTTTTGAGAAAATTGGCGGAATGGTTTACCGTTGGTCTCGGACAGACAAGACATTTTGCCCTTGATCAAGTTTTTGGTGTTAGGACCACAAACATGGATTCTGGCTACATTCTGGTGTTAGACAATTTTGTTTCTAAATTTGGTAACAGGATTCATCCACTTTTTTCGTTACCAGGGCATTTGTAATAAAAGGTTTTCTGCTGGAAATTCGCAGTTTTTTTGTGCAGCATTACAAATTTTCTCTCTACTGCATAAGCAGTAGCAAGAAAGTAAAAGGTATTGGAAATCGTATTCACAAAAATTCCATTTAATTGGTGTTGTCAAATTTTATGTTCATTGGTGTTATCAGTTTTTGAGTTATTTGTATTGTAAGTTAATATTGTGCCAGGGTTGTCTGATGCCTTGGCCATGTATATGTTGATATCCTAGGTCATCTGTTTCTTAGTTGGATTACAGCTGTTGTTGTGTGAAAGTTTATTTGTTTTTTGCTATGGATCAAAATATTGAGCAATGGGTTTGCCATAAGTTCTATTTCCAACAAAATTTCCAGCTTGGAAACACTGAAAATGTTGGAGAGGGCCTACTGTAATGATGTATTATCAAACTTGAGCATCTGAGTGGTACAAAGCATTAAAGTGAAATGGTTACGTCAATCTGATTGACTATCAGCATTATCCAAGAGGGAAAACATTTACAGAATCAAAACATGTCAGAAAAAGGAATTTAAGCTTAAGGAAGAGAGCTCAGTGTGACTCATGAATTTTATCATAGCAGTTTTCATTGATGTTTTGAGCATGATACACATTGCAACTCATCTTCTTCCTAAAGACCTTCTCTTAAGATTGATTTTTGTACAGGAGTTTCTGGATTTCTGGCCAAAAACTCAACTAAAGTCCTTTTTCAACCAGCGTATTAATCACATATAGATGTGACTTTTTCCTATTTTCGAAACTCGTTCACACTTTGTGGAAGGTGATTTCTATTGATTTGATACCATAAAATATGAAAGAAGTGAAGACAATCCTGGAAAGTATTTGAAGGGTTGGCATAAGCGTATTGCTTCATCAAAAATCTATCTGAAATAAGATATATAAACCTTGATGGTAAACCAAAAACTGATTATGTTTTTAACAATTCTTAATACTTTTTTGACAGAATGAATTATACATTTGATTATTAACTTAGATTCTTTGTGTGAAATAAAATTTGTTTGTGTAGTAATGGGTAATGCTTATCTGTTAAATATTTTTATTAAAATGTAAATGAAATATTATATGGTATTTGTATTAAGCTCCAAAACCAAGTTGATATGTAATATCATTGTACTCCAGGGCTATCCTCGAGAATTACTGCCAGTTATGGTTCGAGGTGTTCCATCAATGCACATCTGCTTGGACTTCTTGCCAGAGCTTTTGGGACAGCCCTGCCTCGACAAACAGGCATTTGCTGTGGATTTGGTATCGCATTTATCAGTTCAATATGCTTTGCCAAAATCATTAAGTGTGGCACGACTTGCAGTGAATACATTATCAACACTACTGGGAGGTAATTTGTTAATAATATGTTTATCTGTAAGTTGATTGTACTAGTAAATGACTTAACTTAATTATAGCATATTTACCGTAATTACCTAAAATGGAATTTAATAATTTTTATCGTTGAAATAAACACTCTAAAGATATATTAATATTTTATTTTATGTTGACAATACACGGTTGTAACTCAATATATATACCTATCTATATTACTGAGGACTTCTGAGAATTCTCATTTATAATTATACATTACTGAGCTCTTTTGGAATTTTGATAGATTATGTTACCTTTAGGGCTGAAAAATCTTTTAAACTTTAATTCTTTTTTCAGTATTGCCTAGTGCCAGCAGAGCCAAATTATTTGGACCATCTCTTCCTGCTCTTGTTCGAATATGTGAAGCATTCCCACCCCTCACAGAGGACGTTGTTTCGCTCTTGATGCAGTTGGGACGCGTGTGTGTATCAGAGACATCGCTCACTGGAGCAATGCAGATTGGCGACTCAAGTGCAACTACTGATAGAGAAGATAAAGAAACTGCTGATACAAATTTGGCACTCTGCCGTTTGGTTGAAGACACATTTCTTGATATCCTTAGTAAAGCTGTGCTTAGAAATAAAATTTACTGACAACTACCTGCTAGAAAATCTCAGTGATGTGTTGTACTTCATAAAGTACATGGAGGAAAAGATGCCTGTATTTGCAAAGGCTAGAAAACAATTTCAATGTGATGAAATTAATTGCAATATTTTTCCAGATTGGAAAATCTTTTCATTAAGTTCAGGGAAATTGTTTTGTTCTTTTGTACAATTTACCACTTGTTAAATGTGTGTTGTATGTATTGGAGATATAGATTATGACAATTTCTGAATAGTTTTCGATATTGTTGGTCATGATTGATTGATCTTCAATTGTTTCAACAAAAAATGCAAGGAGAAAGTAAAATTTTTCTGGATCAAGGAATGCATTTTTGGTAATATTTTCATTTTCCTATTTAAAGGATTGAAAAAGACAAAATACTCTGCATTAGAGAAATTTTCTATAGACTTCCTTTATTGTACAGACTTTCTTGTTTTAATCAGATGTTTTGTAGTGTAATATTCTTCTAAACCTGTGAAACATATAATTCAAGATGCTAAATTAGAATAAATGCAACATGAAAAATATAGTTTTCAAATATGTCTTTTACTATTAAAAATGCATTCCAAAAGCAATGTATAAAAGTATTGTGAACGCAAATGTGTGTTAAAAAGTGTTGTGTGAAAAGCGGTAGTATTTGTAAATTGAATGTTATTTTAGAAAAAAAAAGTGTAAATATTTTGTATAAACTGTTTCTATTGAAGAAAGTTTACATACCTATTTTCTGGTATTTTAGTTAATAAATGTTGAATCTGTATAGATTTAACGTGAAAAATAAAGTAAATGTTTTGTGATTACATTCCTTTGTTCTTCGAAATGAAATCATAATTTTTTTATTTAGCAGAATGGGATATTTTTATTAACTTTCTTTCTGAACCTACAGTTCTTTGTAAACTAAAAAATTACTTGTTGAAATGAAGTTGGCTAATTCTTTGAGTTTTATTTAGAGAACCGATGAAAACAATAGGAACTATGATAATGTTTCAGTATAATAAATTTGTTTCTACAGCATTTGAAAAGTAAATTAAAATATGTTTGTTCATGTATGCTTGATCAGTAATAGACAAGGACTTATCTTCTTATTAATTAATAATGCATACTACTTGAAAAGCACTGAATTCTTATATTAAAATGAATCAATTTTTAGAACTATTTATACTTTCATAGATTGACTGGTGTTGTAATGAGTGATATATTTAGTATATTATCACAGAGTGTTGTTTTTATGGTAGAAGGTCAATTTTGTGGTACAGAACACTTGGTTAACTTAGTGGCACATGTGATATCGACCCACACGAACAGGTTTTGAAAAGAAAAAAGTAGGGAAAAAATGTTTTGCCTATGACCTGACAACTCGAGAAGATGATGTTGACTATTGTTACTGGTTAATTGAATCTCTTCTCAATTTTGAAATTGAGAACTGCTGAAGTATTTCTTTTCAATGAGACATCAATCTTTGCATTGACAATTTTTAATACATTATTGCATTTTGTAGAAGCACATCAAATGACTTAGAAATTTTGTTTCGACATTTCAAAAGATTTCTGTGAAAAAACATCAAATTTCACATTTACAGTAAACCTTGAATGTCATTTTCTCAAAAGCTGCTCCAGATTTTTCAACGAAAAGTATCTTACATGACGAGATTTTACTCTTCTGTAATTTTCTTAAAGGAATATTTCGGTTCAACCCTTAAAAAACCTAAAAATTGAGAAAATTTCAAAAAATGTCGTTTGGGCCGTTATAGATGGCAGCTGGCTAGAGGACGTGGCAAGTTCGTAAAGCTAGCGCAGACCAAAGAAATTAAAAAGCTAATTAGTAGTAGAGAAAGTCTGCGCCATTCTGTGTTACTTTCTCGTATACGTACGTGTATGGAGTAATACAAACATGCACATACATAGAAAGTTACATAACGCTGCGGAAAATCGATTTCTAAATTTCACTGGAAATACGCTGTTTGGGGTTCTTGGGGTACCAAAAAAGATTTTTTTTAACACGTCTGTTAGTTCGTCTGTGAATATTAGCACCGAAACCATAGCGTAGAATTTTTTCCAAATTGAAGATACCCCTGTCCATCTGGCTTGAGTCGGTACTTTAAAAGATTTTGAAAAAAATTCTTTAAAATGTGGGAGTACTTTTCATGAAGTTCCAGAGATAAAACGGCTCCGAATATTGTTTTTTAAATTTCTTGTAAGAATAAAGGAAAATGCACTTATAAAGGGGGCATCGGTCCGATTTTCACGGCTAACTTTGAACTTTCGAAAATTGCAAAAGTTTGAATTATTTTCGACTTGAATTTTTCCTACAACTCCAAAATTAGAGATAGAGATTTTTGCTTCAAATGGAATTTGTTGTTCGTAATTAGTTCATATTTTGAAACTTTTAGTAGTTTTCGCGCAAATATTGAGTGCACTTTGTGCAGTTTTAAAAAATAACAAAAATTTTTGATAGGCGTAGTGATAAATATATTCTTTGACATAAACACCATTTTACTCGATCATTTTGTTTCTTCAAAAATTAAAAAATGTAATTTTTTTGACTAGCCTCTCGCGTTCTTAGTATTATTTACATTAGCGAAAATTTGTTCACATTATTGCATTTATGAATGCATGTGCTTTGAATATGGCTGTATACAATTTCTCGAAAACTCGAGTTTTCTGTGAAAATGAGCTCAAAATTTTGCATTATCAGATTCGCTCAAACGTCATTGTTTCAAAAACGGCTCCAAATGTTTTCTTCAAACTTTTCGTACGGATAATGCTAATTACACCAGTTAAAATTATATAAAAATCATTTTGATGTATTCCTTTGTTTTTTCAATAAATAAATGTATTTTTTTAATATCTCTCTCGCCGTTTATATAGACATTTCCGGCGATTTGTATACATGATTGCATTTGTGAGAAGGTGCGCTTCAAATGATGTATTTGGAATACTCAAGATATTCATGTGAAAAAGAGGTAGACCACACCAAGGAAATTATAAAACTTTACTACGAGAAAGTCTGTGCCATTCAGTAGCAGACCTAGTTACCTTCTCGTATGCGTATACTTACGATACAGCTGACGAAGAAAAAGGCTGCTCGCCAATAAATGCTTGATTATTAACCTGTTCTGTTATGGATCAGCAACTTTTTACTTTCCCGTATATGCAGGTTAATATACGTAGTATAGAGGAAGTTATGTAATGCTGCGGAAAATTGATTTCTAAAATTCAACAAAAATACTCGTTTTGGGATACCTTGATAGCGAAAAAGTGTTGTTTTTTTTTTGTTTTTTTTTTAAACTCCGCCTGTCTGTCCGACTGAACACCACTAGCGCCTAAACCATAAATACAATTTTTATAAGAATACATAGTATATGGATTCGCACATTCTTTTTTTCAAAGGCATAAAATACGCTTCTCTTGAAAAAAGAGAAATACTTTCAGATAGTGCATTTTGGAATTCACCTCTTCAATTATAATTTTCACATTTACGTGTAATTACACTTTTCATTTCTGTAGATGAACCTATCCACTTATGTTTGTAAGACGAATTTCACCTCTCTGAGTCTCTCGCTCATAGTAATGCTTACGCAATACTATTTATATTGCAATTTCTTTCCGGATTAACACATCACAGTCATAATTTTTTGTCAAATTCAAATTTATGAAAAATTGTACATATCCTTATTTCAAAATCTATCCAAGGAACAGGTTTCATTACATTTCGTGTCTCTAATATTTTAGTTGTAGAAAGAGGCCGCAAAAAATTTTAAGCTTTTGCAGTTTTCGAAAAATCAGGGTTTTCAACGATCATGAGACGTGCGCCGTTCTCTTAAATGTCCTGAACACTATCAGTAAATCAATAAAGTTTAATCAAAAACGTTGGTTTGAAAATTTTGAAAATGTCCCCAAGGTTTCATGTAAAGTACCCGCCAAAATTAAAATTTCTGTTTCAAATTCCAATGAAAGATCTTCACAACAAAGAAGAGGATTGGCAAGATAAAAGAAGATAGAAGCTTGGGTGCGAGAGACGTCATATGGTGTAGTTCCACTCGTAGAAGAAGGTTTCAAGTTCAAGAGACCACGACATCAGCCAGATCGATTGAAGAATATCAATTTTGAAGAAAGTCGGCTGAACGGTTTAGCCGCTAGCGTTGTTCACAGATGGATGGACAGACAAACGCTTTGCCGTCATTCGATTTTTCGTTATCAAGAACCCACAAAACATGGATTCTAGCTACTCCACGAGTTAGAGGATTTTTATCTCTCTAAATTTAGCAACTGGATTTATCCACTTTTTCGTTACCAGAGCCCTGTAATAAGAGTTTTTCTGCCGAAAATTCGCCGTTTATTCTCGCAGCATTACAAACTTTCTGTCTCTTCTGCGTAAGCGGTAGCGAGAAAGTAAAAATGATATATTTGTGATTTGATGACTTATATTTTTATAGTTAATGATTTTCATTTAAGTTCTGCGTTTTACTATATGTTCTGTTTGTATGGCATACTTATACATATTTCTAACAAAGGAATCAAAACAAACACTTCGTTAGAAAAGCTCAAAGATATGAAGAAAAATTCTAGCAAACACATTTTAAGATGTTAAGACACTTGGAACTAAAAGTTTTTTAAAATACAAAATTTGCATAAGTTCAAATTTACACTGCAACATTTGTGTTCCGAACACACTGAATTGTTAATATTATTATTCTGATTACTAATATAATTGAAATACAGTTAAACGAAAGAACAACAATATAGATATAAGATCGGGTACAAACTACACGTCGATTCAGCAAATCCTGCGGCGAATTTTTCCTCAAAGCTTTAACATTATAAAAAGCCATACAATTTTAGTTAATAAAAATATATATTTTTTAAAATTTAAATTATCATTACATAAACATCACTATGTAAAAATAAAAGTTGTACCGAAAATTTGTCGCCCCTCCAAAACTTGCCGCCCACATGCCTAGATTTACCTGTTCATAAATACTCCACAGGTTCCAGTGCTATTTATTAGTAAAAACAGTATACTACAATGTAGTCAATTAAAGGAAGATTGTAGTCTAGGATTTATAGATGTAAACTTTCTTCGAAGTTAAAAATGTTTCCAAGATTTTTCAGCATTGGTACGAGTGGTCAAAAATAATACCCAGTTGGGCTGTCAATTGAATTGAAAAGACAATAATGACTAAGGTAAATTGCGTGTAAGAAATAAGATATAAAAACGATGAATGTACACCCTACATATATATTTTTACGGAATAGCATTTATAAGAGCGAAAGAAAAAAAACTGAGTGGTAAGCCAGCAGAATCACTGATCATTATTCACAAAAGTTATAATACATCACGTGACAATGTTTATTAAAAGAGTAATGGAATTTTGCACACATTTTATGATAATCTTAAGCAGTAGGCTTGGGAAGAACGTTTACTTTATAATTCATTTCGTGAAGAGACGCATTCCGCGGTATTCTACTGAAAAGATAAAAAATATTTAAAGAAAATATCAACAAAAATAGTAAAGCTTTAGTTTATACAAACTTGAACATTGAGTAATTGACAGCGAACAATAAATACATTGTTAAAAATGTGACGACATTTTTGAAATGGAATAATTCGTTTTAATTCGCCGACAAGAGCAGATATATTCAGTAACTGGTAACTAAGAAGTGTGGTACAGACACGAAGCAGTGATTAAGCATGTTAGTAGGTTTGTTGTGTGTTTTGTTTGTTGGTGCTGATGCGATAATAGAACAACAATAAGATGTCTCCTGAAACGCCAAAGATTAGGTAAAGTTCCGAAATTGAT